ATGGTTAGCTGACGGAGCCGTAAGCGTTCGTGCCGGCTCTTCTGACCCCACGGAGTGCCACTTGTTTGTCTGTATGTGATGCCCGCTGAGAACTCCCAGATAGATGTAACGTAAATTGGAATGTCGTGAATAGAGATGTTCATCGTTTGCCTCACGATATGGGTGCACGACCGGCTATCTATACGTAAATTAGTTTATAGCTAGGCTGAATAGCGCAGCAGCTACGATGGATTTCGTTATTCTCAACGATCGCGCTACTGTGTGCCAGTCGCTACTGATAGTGAGACAGTATTATCAGTGATCTCTAGTAATGGGACGATGCTGGCAAAATGGAGGAGGCTTACCTTTGATAGCCTCGGTAATTTCCGGTTGGAGGCGCTTCTTGTATATGCCCTCACCGGAAAGAGAAGAGGCTGCGAGTTCCTCTTGGTTGAAGAAACTTTTCATGAGAAGTCTTATCAGACGCGTTGCGCTGGCTGATGACTTGATTATGAGGCTTTGGTAGACTTCCTTCGGCAGTGTGACACTGGGCTGGTTCTCACTCAACACCACTTGCCCCTAAGAAGGGAAGAAAAAAGAAGGTGGCAATGAACATACTGTGGGATGGTTTTCGTTTTTGCAAATTGCCATAAGCGAAGGTTCTTACAGCTGACAAAAAGCATGTTAGTCTCAGAACTTCGTTGTGAACGTTAATTTTATGTCGGAGGTAGGGCTTCCTGTTTACCGAGTCTAGAAACATTATCCAAGTGAAGGTCCATGAACCTGTTCCAGTGAACACTTTTTAAATCTACCTTGCAGATCTATCTACAGAAGCTGTCATTTCGAGCAGTTGGTTGAGAAAATTGAAGCGCGCAAAGTATTCACTGGGATCTCAAGGAGACCCTGCAACCCCGTGGGTTCTATAGTCACTGAAAACTACATGTTACTTTTATGGAATAAATGTATTCTTAATAGATAAAATGGCGGGCTTACGATGGCATTTGACAATTTTATTCAAATTACTTAATTACTGAACAGGCTGTCCACATGTTACCTTAATAAAACCTTTATTTTTATTGCATCCGTATTCGCCGAATCAAGCAAACTTCTCATTGTTTAAGCAACCACATTTCGAACAAGATAAAGCGGTAAATTTTATATCAAATTCTCGCAACAAGATTTTGAAACCCAAGATAAATGATTACAAACTTACTTATGGGAAGAGGTCTGCTCTAAACGTCATTATGTCCATATTTTCGTGCCTTCTTAGTTATTGGCATGGATAGGCTTCAAAACTTAAAAATTTACGTTCTTCATTCGAGTTTGAGAAAATATTTGTTTATCACCAGCATAATATTGCTTCTAATATTTCTTTTGTTCCTTAAATGAAATGAGTTAAGCATCTGAATTATGACATTTGAGGGCCAGACCAGAAATTACATTGAACACGTGAGTTTACGGCAACCAACTACTAAATGTGACACACCTATATCGGACATACTCGCAAAACTAGCCTTCCAGCGAATGAAACAAGGTGTCATTTGAGCTTCAGTACGCAGTCCACACACTCTTACCATAAAGAACAATGATCTAAGTCATTTATTGACCTGACGGAATACCGAATTCCCGATAGCATAGTTTGCTTTTGAGGCGATTGCCCTTCTTTTTAGAACATCAGCGCCTAGGTATTGAGGAGTGAAAGCTTCAGAAAAGGCCTTGATGTCAAGACCCTCAACTAGGCTATCAGCAGTCCTGCAATGTGTGCGAACTTGCTACCGTCCTGTCTTCTGCTACTGTGATAGACAGGAATTATTGGAATAAATTACGGTCTGACGGCAGTCCATTCAGCTTTGGGAAAACTACCTCAGATCTCAGATCCAGCCGTAAGGCATCAGTCCTACCGGATAAATTACGCGGCAGAAATTCTACTGTCCGCCCTATGGACTTGGAACCTCTGAAACGATGGTCTAACTACTAAATTGCTTTGATATGCAATCACCTATAAATAAGCCTCATTTTTGATAGCAGCATTTTCTTTGTTTAAGGGTCCCATCTCTAATTAGCAAAATAGTAGCGCTATTTGTTCATCTGCTGCGTTAATTGCTCCTGCATGTATGTTGGTCATACAGGTCGAAATTTTGGGACTCGAACTAACGTAACACTGCTTAATGTCGGCCGGTAGGACTCTTATTTTTCGAGGGCGACTGCACCTTCAGTTGGGACGATACCAAAGTGATTGCCGCGACTTACAAAAAATGGGCGCGAGACTTATCGAGGTCCGGTACTCTAACGCATGCAATATCAACAGTAATACGAAGGCCTGTGCTTACGCCTCACTGGTTCGCCGCGTTCATACAAAAACGCCGTCACACCATCTGGAATGTAACCGTGACGCCTTCCTCCCTCCCCCCCCAGTGAACCGTCATCGTCCGTTACTACAGCCTCGCTCACCGGACGTATGCACCGTTTGTGTAACCTCCCCGCTCCAGTGTGATAACCCCACTTCCCCTAATTAAATTAATAACCTGTTAAGTTAATGAATTCTTCCCTAGAAAAAAACAACCCATTCAGCTGGGGCAAAACTACAGGATATTACGCA